TTTGTATATGATAGTCAGTACCTTGAACTAAGCCCAATAGTTGATGGGCAGCCTATGGAGTGACTGTAGAAGGGGTGCAATGTCATGTCCTGCAGCATTTTAATGATGTCTGAATGCAGCTTGATACAGGTACTTGATTGCTTGGCCCCAAAAATAATGTGGAGGGGAAAAACTCCTAAAAAGTTAACAGCCATATCTGTGTAAGGGCAGATGTTGCAAAAACTAAACCTCTGAAGTCTGAGTGGCAGCCAGCAACACAAAAGGGTGTGCAAAAACTGGTGGTGGTCAGGACAAAGAGGAGGAGGCAGTGCAGGTGGCTAGTTGGAGGAAGACTAGCTAGCAGGAGGGAAGCAAGACCTGGTGACAGGTGTGTGTGGGGGAGATATAGGAGTGATGAGGGAGAAAATTCTATTTCCCCTCCTTTGTGAGTCCTTAGATGTCCCTTTCTTGACTAATTTAAAAATCAGAGCCTCTAAACAGAGTTCATAGTAGATGTCCTGTCTCTGAGGTTGAGGAGTGCAGAAGAGGCCGCTAGTTAGGTCAGTAGGTATTCTGTTGTTTTGAACAGGATGAAAGGGGGCACCTTGGCATCTTGTTCCCTTAAACATAGTATATAAAATGATAAATTCTATTGGGGGAAATAAATGGTTCGGTTTCTATTCATGTATCTGCATTGTGCATGTGTTAAGTGTTGTCAGGTCACTTCTGACTAGTGGAGACCACATGAATTAATGATCATTAACATCCTTGTTCAGGTCTTGCAAACAGAGGGCCATGGCTTCCTTTATTAAGTCAATCCATCTCATGTTGGGTGTTCCTCTTTTTCTGCTGCCTTCAACTTTTCCCAGCATTATTGTTTTTTCCATTCATTCTTGAAGTACGATAGCCTCAGTTTGGTTATTTTAGTTTCTAGGGAGAGTTCTGGCTTGATATGATCTAGAACTCGTCTGTCTTTTTGCCAGTCCATGATATCTGTAAAACTCTCCACCAGCTCCACATTTCACATGAATCAAATTTCTTCCTGTTAGCTTTCTTCATTGTCTAATTTTCATACCCATGCATAGTAATGGGAAATACCACAGTATGAATTATCTTGATCTTGGTCACCAGCAACAGATCCTTATGCTTAAGGATCTTTTCTAGCTGCTTCATGGCTACCCTTCCCATTCTCAATCTCCTCCTGATTTCTTGGCTCGAGTCTCCCTTTGGGTTGATGATGGAGCCAAGGAACAGAAAATCTTTAACAATCTCATCTTCTTGGTGACTTCCGGTTAATGGCGACACGCAGGCAGACGCATCTCCTGGACCTCCTGGGGATATAATCTGCGCACCAGTGTGTAGGAGGGGGCGCAGCAGGTTGCGACCCCCCCGGAGTCTTGGCAAAAGGCTCCTAGCCATGGGGCTTTTGAGGGGCGACCTCTTTGCTGGCACATTCCTGGAGAATTGAGGCGCTCCTCCGCCCCGACGGTCCTGCTGCTGAGTGTCCGAATGGACTTAGAGCCGCTGACCGGGACAAGCATTGGAGATCGAGTGAAATGAACGATGCCGAGTGTGGCCGAATGGCCGACAACGAACTGTGTGAGTTGGGTTAAAGTGAGCATGAGAAGTTAAAAAGAAAGCTACCCCCCCTACGGAGCGACGAAAAGCAAGCGGGGGAGGGGCCCCTCCCAAACGCATGAATGAAAGCACGAAATAAAGAGGGGGGAGTGGAAGAATAAGCATTCAAATATGTTTTAAGAGACTTACCAGAGCGTGGTTAAGCGTAAGGGCGAATTTCAGAGACTTTGGCAACTTTTAAAATAGTAAACAATCCATAAAGATGGTGGGGAAGAAAGCAGACAAAGACAAACTGTGTAAAACAAAACTAGTGGGCAGCCCTCGAGCAGAAGAGACTGCTGAACTCTCTAAAATGCTGGCAGACTCCTTGCGCCCTCTGCTGGATGAGATGACTAATATTAAGCAACAACTGTCAACAATAAGCCAAAGTATGGCGTCTCAGCAGCTCCAACTGACGGAGTCTTTAAAAGTAACGGAGCAAATGGCTGAGAAGGTGAAGGAAGTGGACGCCAATACTAAAAGAGTTAAGAAAAAGGTGCAAAAGCTGGAAATGAAATGAGCTCCGGAAGAATCACAACTTTTACAGCTGCAGATGGAGAAACCAAATCTGGTCCTACGGCTCCAAGGGGAGAGAATTAAAAGGAGAGAATCTGAAGCAATTACTGAGTGAAGCATTAGCCCCAATAACAGATTTGAAAGCGGAATATCTTTATAGCGAGATGGATGTGGTCTACAGGTCCTATTCCTCATGCATCAAGAAAAATAATCTGCCTGGGGAGATAGTAGTCAGATTCTCAAAGAGACACATGAGAGACTCTATCTTGAAAGCAACTACTGGAACACCCTTGAGAATCGGGGACAACAACATCAAGATTTTAAAAGATATCCCATTTGAAATAAGACAGAAGAGAAAGAAATATAAAGATTTAATTATTTTTCTACAAACAAATGGCATCAGTTACAGATGGTTAATTCCTGAATGCATCATTTTCAAACTCCACGACAAAAAAAATAAAAGATTGACTCTGTGTTTAAAGCACATGAGTTCCTGAGAGTACAGCTGGGGGAACCAGTGGAAGACAAGGAGGAAGAAGAGGAAAGCAAATCCGATGGCGACTTGGGCTTGACGTCTTCTGACGAGGACTCTTCTTCCATAAAGGGGGTGGCCGCCCCCAAAAGTCCATATAAATTGAGGATTAGAAGAGATAAGACAAAATAAGGCTGAAGGACTCTGATTTGTGCCTGAAATATATATATTAACTATGGGATGTTCTGGGGTTTTCATTCAACAGATAGATTGATGGGTAAAAAGACAAATGATTTAGCATGACTGACTAAGTTCAAAGTAATACTAGCGATTAAGAATAACAAGTATATAAACTGTATGTTATGATCTCCTATTCTTGGGGTTTTAGTTATTAGTGGATTGCTTTTCTTTCTCCGTAGTTGTAATTTTCCCTCCCTAATTTTCGGTTGTAGTTTGTAGTGTTTTGAAAAAACCAATAAAATACTCCTTACAGTTGTGTAATTACTCAGTAGTCATTACTTTTGTCATCTTAATGATTAGCTGTAATCCTGCTTTGGCAATTTACACTTCAACCTTCATCAGGAGTTGTTTCAAGTCTTCACTGTTTTCTTCCAATAATGTGGTGTCATCTGCATATTTAAAATTGTTAATGTTCCTTCCACCAATTTTCTCTCCACCTTCATCTAAATCTAATCCATTTTTCCTTATGATACATTCTGCATATAGATTAAATAGACAGGGATATAAAATGCATCTTTGTCTGATACCATTGCCAATTGGAAAACATTCTGTACGTCCTTGTCTGATACCATTGCCAATTGGAAAATATTCTGTACGTCCATATTCTGTCCGAACAGTAACCTCTTGTCCAGAGTATAGATAGCATACCAAAATAATCAGATGTTGTGGCACACCAATTTCTTGTAGAACCATTCATAGCTTTTCATGATCCACACAGTCAAAACGTTTGGTGTAATGTAAAAAATAAAAGCTGCTTTTTTCCTGAAATTCTCTCGTATGTTCCAGTAACCAATGCAATATGATCTTTCTTTTTTGAATCCAGCTTGAATATCTGGCATTTTCCATTCTATATATGGTAATTCTTTGCTTTAAAAATGTGAGTATCACTTGCATGAGAAATTAATGCGATTGTCTGATAATTGCTACAGTCTTTGATGTCTCCTTTTTTAGAACTGGAATGTAGATTGAGCATTTCCAGACTGTGGGCCATTGTTTTGTTTTCCATATTCATTGACATATTCTTGTTAAGATTTTGATGGCCTCCATTTCTGTGGCTTGACATCACTTTATTGATATCCCATCTACTCCTGGTGATTTGTTTCTCCCAGTTGCTTTGAGTACAGGTTTTACTTCACTTTTTGAAATTACAGGTTCTTCAAAAGATTCTTCATGGAAGGAATTTGTTATCCTTTAATCTCTTCTATATAGTTATTCAGTGTATTGTTCCCGCCTTTTCTTTATTTTGTCCTGTTCAGTTACTATATTTCCATGTTGATCTTTCAGCATGTCTAACAGTGTTTTAAATTTACCCTTGATTTCTTGGACCTTGTGGAACAGATCTCTTGTTCTTTTGTTCTTCTCTTCTATTTTTCTCTACTAGTTATTATAATAGTTATCTCATGGGAACACTGCATTTAGACCTGATTGTATTTCTGTCTCCTTTTGCTTCTCATCTATCTGTAGCAATTTTAAGAATTTCATCATGTACTCATCAAGGCTTTGCATGTCTTTTGGTACAGGAATAGTTGTGCATTCCTCCTTGATAATATCTCTGGTTTCAACTCATAGTTCTTCTGGTTGACAGTTTATAAGTAATTGAACTGGATTGGAGAAAAGAAGTAAAGTCTCTGCATTGCCTTCTTCGATTTCTCACCTCAAATGGGATATCCTTTAACACTTTCACTTCTTCTTCTTTAATTTTCCAGGGTTTTTTTCCCCCAACAGCATCTCTGGTAGATCTCTTAGAGAATTTAACAAATAATTTGCCTGTCTGTTCTCTTCTGCTGATTTGGCTCTCGGTTCCTGAAAGGAATGGATACATCTTAGTCTGGTGTCTCAGCTATGACCATTCCATGTTGAGTGAGTCTGCTAGGAGTTTAGTCTCATTCCATGTTGAGTGACTCTGCTAGGAGTTCAGTCTCTTGACAGAGTCTGAATTCCTTATGGTATTGCTCTCACTTTCACTGACACACACAAAATCTCTCATCACATTAAGGTGTGCATCCAAGGGCAAAGATTACAGTCACTCTTACACATTACAATGCCAGTCCTCAGGCTATAGCATGGTGTACAGTTTCATTCATATGGAGTATACTTTCTCCAGGTAAACTTGGATGTTAATTTTTTTTATTGCAAAATGTAAATATTTTCAAGTAATGTAATGTTTCATTAACAGAGCCTGCTGCAGTTGATGAAGATGAAATGTTTATTGGTGTATTTCACACACAGATTAATTCAGAAAATTATGAATACAGAGGAAGACCAGTCAAGCAAGGTACAAGATGTAGTGATTTATTCTTTTTCTCTAAATCCAGTTTAAGAAACTTTATTATAAAGAGGTAATCTCTGTTTTCAGTTTGTGCTGGTTATACATAACTCAGTGGTTATGTCAGTATACCTTTTGCCACAGATACATAGTTCACCCAACTTTCAGTGTGGAAGTAACAGTTACTTAAAGTTAAGAATCTTTTGCCTGAATAAACTGGGTTGTTTAATAGTTGCAGGACTGTCTACAAAGCAACATATCAGATCTATATTATTATTATTATTATTATTATTATTATTATTATTATTATTATTATTATTAATGACAATAAAGTTTATTATTATTATTATTATTATTATTATTATTATTATTATTATTATTATTATTATTAATGAAAATATATCATTATTACCAATTCTTTTGAGGAAATTGCTCACCATCTTTGTAGTGTTATTAACCATCCTTAGTAATTACAATTCTCAGAATGATGAGACTGGCCTTTTTGTCACAAGTTCACAAGATGCCAGTATAATACTATTTTTCATCTAGAATGGCTGTATGTAGATTACAGCAATTACAGAACAACTTCTTTCTGAGGAAAGTCCACTTAAAATATAAAGGTAGACATTGTACAGTCATTAGTATGCATATCATGCACAGCTATTTGAAAGTAAGTCCTATTCATATCAATGGGTATAACTTCTGAATAAACATTGTTCTTATCTCTTTACTTCTTGTGGTGCTACTTGAAAACTGTGAGTGTGGGGACATATTTAATGAGCCTGTGTTGAAATGCTCTTGTTAGTCATGTTACTGAAAAAGTTCTTGAAAGAATAGAGTCCAAAGTTAGTAATGCTCTAGTATGTGTATTATAAACACTGATATTGTTAATTTACAAAGTTAATATTCCACGTTTCTGCCCTCAGAAGGGCCACCAAGGTGGCTAACAAATTAAAACATACTTAATAAAGCCACGTTTTAGTTCCCCCAAATCCCCTATAGATCATTAAAACAATTAAAACCACAGCTAAAATACAAATAGATGAGAACAGCAATTAAAACTTTTGTCACGAAGGAGGGATCACTGAGGGAATGCCAAACAAAAGAAAAAAGTCTTCATCTGCTGGTGGAAGATGGCAGCAGAAGGGGACAGATGAATCTGCCTGGGGGGAAGAGAGTTCCAGAGTTTTGGTGCCGTGACTGAGAAGGCCGTCTCCCCAGTTGCCACCCACCTAATCTCAGAAGGCAGGGGCACCAGAAGCAGGGCCTCCAATGATGACCGTAGTGGTTGGGTGGGGTCATAAAGAACTAGGCGGTCCTTCAGGTATGTGAGTCTCAAACTACATAGGGTTTTAAAGATCAACACCAGCATGTTTTAAAGATTTTAAAGATCAACACCCTGTCTAGATGGTGAGCCAGTTTATGCTTGCTCACGGAAACTCCTGGATGAGCTGGTAGAGGACTGGAATTCCCATCTCTCTGAAGCCATTAATGAAGTTGCTCCCTGACATCCTCTGAGACTCTCTGGTAGATTGTCCCCCTGGTTCACTCCTGAACTAAGGGGTATGAAATGAGAACTGAGACAACTTGAGCGAGTTTGGCAACGGGATCATGACGAAGCTGCAAGAGCATCCTATAGGATGTTTATGAAATGCTATGAGATGGTGTTAAAGGCTGCTAAGAAAGAGTTTTCCTCTGCCTCTGTCACGTCCACTAGCTCACGACCGACCGGCACAATTATTTAGGGTGATTCGATCTCTGACATCCATGACAAAAGGGAATGAAAAGAATAGGAATTTGACAATTAGTTGTGAGGCATTTGTGAGCTTTTTCGCAGATAAAGGACCTGCCTGCAAATATTGATACAGTAAGTGAACTGGAGGCTTGTTGGCCATCTTTGGATTCAGTTTTTGATACCTTCAATCTGCTCTCCTCTGCCAATGTTGATAGGATCCTGGGTACTGTCAGACCAACGACGTGCCTCCTTGATCTGTGCCCCTCTTGGCTAGTGAAGGCTGGCAGTGAGAGGATATGGGGCCTGCTGAGGGAACTTAACTGGTCCCTGAAAACAGGGACCTATCTGGAGGGCCTCAAGGAGGCCGTGGTTGCACCGCTTTTGAAAAAATCAACATTGGATCCTTCTGATTTACCAATTACCACCCCGTTTCAAATTTGTCATTCCTGGGTAAGGCTGAACAGCTCCACAGTTTCCTGGATGAGACATCAGCACTGGATCCATATCCGTCCGGCTTCTACTCTGGCCACAGGATGGAAATGGTGTTGGTTGCCTTGGCAGATGATCTTCGTAGGCAGCTGGATCAAGGCCAGCCGGCGCTGCTACTATTATTAAATTTTACGGCAGCATTTGACACAGTCAGTTATGATCTTTTGACTCACTGCCTCGCCGACGTAGGAGTTCTCGGGGTAGTCCTTCAATGGCTTACCTCCTTCCTGCATGGTTGGGGACAGAGGGTGGTGCTAAGGGAGTCTATGTCCTCTAGATACCCCCTGGAATGTGGGGTTCCTCAGGGGGCACTTCTTTTCCTGATGTTGTTTAACGTCTATATGCACCCCCTCGCCCAGTTGGCACAGAACTTCAGGCTTGGGTATCACCAATATGCTGATGACACCCAGCTGTATCTGCTTCTGGACGGCCAACTGGATGCCGCCCCAGAAAATCTGGCTATGGGTTTGGAGGCCATGGGGGGATGGTTAAAAAAGAGCAGGTTGAAACTGAATCCAAGAAAGATGGAGGTTCTGTGGCTAGGGGGAGGGGCTTCAAAGCTTGGGTTCAGCTTACCAGCTCTTGACAGTATGCCATTGGCACTGGTGCAGTCCGTCAGGAGCCTGGGTGTGATCCTGGATGCCTCTATTAATATGGAGGCCCAAGTCACACATACAGCCAGGCTGGCATTTTTCCATCTGTGCCAAGCCCGGTGGCTGGCCCCTTTCCTGTCGCACTCTGACCTGGCCACATTAATCCATGAGACCTCCAGACTAGACTACTGTATCTTGCTGTATGTTGGCCTGCCCTTGAGACTGACCCAGAAGATCCAGCTGATCCAAAATTTATTTTATTTTATTAATTCCATTTATACCCCACCCTCCCCATGAACAGGCTCAGGTCAGCTTACATTAGTCCATACCCAGCACCATAAAACTATATACAAAAGTTAAAACATTTTAAACATTTAGAACAATCAGATGATCAAAGTGCTAGCGATAGTAATTGTCTTTCAGTGATTAAGATGGCATACTATATAGTATACAAACAATTGTTTCCAAGTCAGTGACCTTTTGGCATCGTGCGATGGTATGGCTCAATCTCCAGGCTGGGGCTAACCCATAACCACAGATGTTGGTGGTAGTGGTGTGGCAGCTCCTAATTGAAATCCTGGTGGAAGAGCTCCATCTTGCAGGCTCTGGGGAACTGTAAAAGATCCCGCAGGACCCTGATCTCTTCTGGGAGCTCATTCCACCAGTATGGAGCCGCCACTGAAAAGGCCCTGGCGGGAGCAAGCCTAGTGTCCTTAGGGCCTGGGATGGTCAGTCAATGTTGTGACCCCAACCGTAGTGCTCTCTGGGATATATATAGGGAAAAGCAGTCCCTCAGGTATGTCGGACGCTGGCCATATAAAGCTTTAAAGGTAAGTACCAGCACCTTGAAGCAGATTTGGTATGCTATTGGCAGCCAGTGCAGTGCCTTCAGCACAGGCTGGATGTGCTCCCATTTAGGAAGGCCCATCAGAAGCCTGGCTGTGGCATTCTGCACTAGCTGCAGCTTCTGGATTTGCAACAAGGGCAGCCCCATGTCAAGAGCGTTACAGTAGTCTAGTCTCGAGGTGACCATCACATGGATCACTGTAGCCAGGTCATCGCGGCCGAGGAAGAGAACCAACTACCGAATCAGCCGAAGATGGTAAAAGTCCGACTTAGCAGTGGCTGCTACCTGGGCTTCCATTGTTAAGGAGTGAACCGCCCCAACTCAGGCACAGGACCTCCGTCTTCACCGGGTTCAGCTTCAGCCAGCTCAGTTTAAGCCAACCAGCCACAGCTTGCAATGCCCGGTTCAGATCTTTCAGTCTGGAGTCTGACTGGCTGCCCAACATCAGATAGAGCTGGGTGTCATCAGTGTACTGGTGGCACCGCATCCCATGCCTCCGAGCAATCTGGGCAAGGGGGCGTATCTAGATGTTAAATAACATCGGGGATAGCACTGCCCTTTGAGGCACACCACACTCCAATGGGTGTCTCCTGGACTGCTGGTCCCCTAGTGCCACCTTTTGTCCCTGATCCTGGAGAAAGGAAGCAAGCCATTGCAAGGCAAGCCCCTGGATCCCCATGTCGGCGAGGTGGTGAGTCAGCAACTGATGGTCAACCGTGTCGAATGTGGCTGACAGATCTAACAGCAACAGTACTGCCGAACCGCCCCGATCCCGATGCCTCTGGAGGTCATCCGAGCGACCAACACCGTCTCCATCCCATGTCCCAGGCGGATGCCGGACTGGAAGAGATCTAGTACAGAAGTGTCATCCATAAAGCCCTGCAACTGTATCACCACTGCCCTCTCGATTAGTTTGCCCAAATAGGGCAAATTGGAAACCAACTGATAGTTGGCCAATTCAGCCGGATCCAGATATGTTTTTTTCAGAAGAGGGCAGACCATCTCTTCCTTGAGCACCCCCGGTAACTGTCCCTCAGAGAGGGACTTGTTGATAATTTCCCTAAGGGCACCTCGGAACCCTTCATGGCCAGCTTTAATAAGCCAGGAAGGGCACAGATCAAGGCTGCACATGGTTGGGTATACCGTTGCGAGCAATCTGTTGACTTTCTCCAGACTGAGCAGGCTGAAATAATCCAAAACCAAAATCGAAGACTTGCAAGGGGCCTCGAGTTTGCTTGCTGTTTCAACTGTGGTGGGGAAGTCGCAGCAAAGCGCCAAGACTTTATCCGCGAAATAGCTCGCAAATGCCTCACAGCCAATATCCAATTCCCTAGCATTTGGTCCCTAGCATTTAGAACTCCCTCTTTGCGGCTTTGACTGCCATCTCATAGGATCTCGTAAATGTCTTATAAGATGCTCTTATTTGTTTATTTATTTGATTTTTATCCCGCCCTCCCGCCGAAGCGGCTCAGGCTCTTGTTACTTCATCTCGAGCACGGTGCCACCGTCTCTCTAGTTGTCTCAGCTCTCGCTTTATAAGCTGCAACTCCTGGGTAAACCAGGGAGCAAGCCTAGTGCGGGAGTGCAGAAGGCACTGGGGAGCGATCTCATCGATGGCTACGGAGAGCCGACTCTGCCAGTCCTCCACAACCTCATCCAATGAGCCGCCAGGGGGCATTGGATCCCGCAGAGCCATCTGGAGCCGCAGTGGGTCCATCTGGCTCCATGGGCAAGCTAAAATATGCTCGCTGCCTAAACAGGGTTGGGGTGGAACATTCAAACGGGCCCTCAGGGCATGGTGGTCCAACCATGGGACTGCCAAAGCAGTAACCCGGTCCACTGTTTCCCCCACCGCAAAGATCAAATTGAGCATGTGCCCAGCTCAGTGAGTTGGAGTTGTTACATATTGGGAGAGTCCCAGTGCCACCATGGACAACACCAGGTCCGTTGCCCGAGTAGAGGCCGTGTCATCAGCATGGACATTGAAATCACCCAAGACTATCAGTCTAGGGTGTTCCAATGCCCAGCCTGATACAGCCTCCATCAGGGACAGCAGGCTATTGGCCAGTGCGTTAGGTGGTCGGTACACCAGCCAAATCGCCAAACTCTCACCGGCCTCCTGTACCAGGCTGACACACTCAATACTCGTGATCCTTGGTGGTGGGAGCGCCCTGAAGGAGTAAGCCTCCCGAATGAATAGAGTGACTTCTCCCCCCTGCCTCCTAGTCTGTAATTGGACAGCATATCCAGGTGGAGCTAATTGTGAGAGAGATACTGTCTCTCCCTCTTGCACCCAGGTCTCAGTCACTCACGCCAGGTCTACATTCTACTCCTGCAAAAAATCTCGCAGGACCATGGTCTTATTATTTATAGACTTGACGTTGCAGAATACCAATGTCGGAGGAGCGTCAATGTTCCTAGCCCCGCTGCCAACAACCGTTGGGATGGGACATAGGCTGGAAGGGGGCCAAGTTAAACTACTTCTTTGTCCCCTTCCCTGCCTAGTCCCACCACTATACTTTCCCCTCCCCAGGAGCACTGGAATGTTATGCCTGGTCATCATCAGGCCAGCTAATCTTCGCAGCTGCAACCTTGCTATTTGCCTCAGATCAACTAGAGCAACAACCCACCAGGATAGTCCTTTGCGGCATGCGCTGGTGCCCACTTACTCCAAATTTAGTAAAGCCCTGACAAATTAATCTAGCGGCCTATTAATACCATTTTAAAAACTTATTCTATATATGACCCAATCCGATTAGCCCGCTCTAAAACATTCAGCTACTAGGGGCTAATAGCTCAGTGGTAAATTTCCTATTAAGCAGCTAGGAACCTCTTATTGACCAATTTGTAACTTTAAGTTCAGATATCAAATCAATTAATTAAAATTAATTCAGCACTTACAGGGCATACAAATAATTAATTCTACACAGTCGAATCTACAATTAATCAGTTGTCAATTAATCCATAGTTAACTGGGGGGGAACTAACAATAAAAACAAATATTCCTATACCCTAACCCAATTAATTAATTTAAATCTAAATTCACTGTGGTTAACCACCAGCGTCTGCTGCCTACTGCTGGGTCCTTGATGGCAATTCGGGTCCAATTGTTAAAGCTCAGCCTAGCCGATGTTTCCCTTCATGCCCGACAGTCCCACATATGGACGTGGGTTCTGATCTCAGACCCTTTCTCCTGGGCCACTGCAGTGTCTGTCACGCCGTGGTCTGCGGCGGTATGTGTCCTAACAGGAACATTTCAGACTGCACATATTTGACTTCTGCTGTGCCAGCTGCACTGGCTTCCGGTGGAGCACTGCGTCAAGATCGAGGTTTTGGTTCTATCCCTTAAGGCTTTCAGCAGTCTGGAACCAATGTATCTGTGGGACCGCCTCTTCTGTTACACAGCTGGGAGAGCATTATGCTCTACACAGAACAACTTGCTGGTGGTCCCTTGCCCCAGAGATTTGGCTGTCCTCAACCTTTTTGGCCCTGGCCCCTGGCCCTGGCATGGTGGAAATATCTGCCACATAACATCAGGGCCTTGTGGGATCTTATGCAATTCTGCAGGGCCTGTAAGGCAGAGATGTTCCACCAGTTGTTTGGTTGAGGACAGTGATGGTTTATATCATGGCTGGCACCCTACCTGGACCCCCCCCCCATCGCTTGTGGAGTTTACTTCCTCCCCGTGCTCAAAAAGCACCCACAGACCAGAAACTAATTGAAGCTTCTGAGCACTTCTCAAGGGCAGCACTATGTAGAGTGCACTGCAGTAACCTAATACAGATGTAACCAGAGCACGCACCACAGTGGCCAGAACTTTTCTGCCCAGGAAAGGCCGCAGCTGACCAACTAGTCAAAGCTGGTAAAAGGTACTCCTGACCACAGCTGTGACCTCCTCATACAGTTGTAGGCTGAGGCCCAAGAGCACCGTCACAGTACAGATCTGTTCCTTCAAGGGGAAGGTAGCGCCATCCCAAATAGGTGGCACCTTAAACCCCGAATCAGACCTTCCGCTCACCAATAGCATGTCTGTCTTGTTGGGATTAAGTTTTAGTTTATTAGCCCATATCCACTCCATACCCACCTCGAGGTACTGATTCAGGAATTCTACAGCCTCCCTGGAATAATCTGTGTGTATGAAATAGAGCTGATTGTCATCTGCATATTCGTAAGCCAGCCCAAATTTCTGGATGACTGCACCCAGTCGTTTCAGGTAGATGTTAAAGGGTATAGGGGATAAGATGGAACCTTGTAGGACCCCACAGGCCAAGGAGGTGAGCAGCAGTCCCCCAGCACCACCTTTTGAAACTTACCCTCCAGGTAGAAACAGAAACACTGCAGAACAGTGCCTCCCAATCTGAGCCAGGAGAGGTGGTCCAGAAGGATACAATGATTTGATGGTATCAAAAGCTGCTGGTAAATTGAAGGCTTATCCTTTTATCATTGTATAAATTTGAGCAGCTTAAAACCTACAGTTGTTCATTGGCACTGTTTTTCTTTGCTGCAGGTTGTTTAAATGCAGAGAGAACAAGAAGCTCAATGAGGAAAACAGAGAACATGCACCAGAAGACTGAAACAAGTCCTAAAAACCCAAATAATTTTATTAAAAAGAACATAGAGGTATGTGTTTAAAAGTTTGCTTTAGACACAGGTCACCTCATGAAAATAATTTAGGAATTGATAATCACTGATTAACTATTTATTTATTTATTTATTTATCAGATTTATACCCTGCCCTCCCCGCACAACAGTTATCTTGTGTTGCATTGGTAGGAAAAGGAATGTATTAGATTCTTATCAATTTGTGATGACCAGCTTCTTCCCCAAGCTTCTTGCCTTCCCTCTCATAGTCTGTCTATCCCCTGAGATAACTTTCCCTCCAGCTGAATTGCAGTATTGACAGTGAGTTTCAGCTGGGAGAAATGTGCTTTGAGGGGCAGGAGGAGGGCTGTGTCAATACATCTGTTTATGCGTTAAGAGCCAGCGTGGTGTAGCGGTTAAGAGTGACAGAGAAATCTGAAGAACCAGGTTAGATTCTGCACTCCTCCACATGAAGCCAGCTGGGTAACCTTGGATCAGTCACAGCTCTTTCAGAGCTCTCTCAGCCCCCCAAAATAAGTCTAGCTCACCACCTGGGTGGTGCATAATGCTAAAAGGCTGAAGTTAAGGCTGCCAGACAGTAATTATGAAATTATTACTATGCCTTAAATTGTATCCTCCATCCTCTGTTTTATTATACTTTAAATTGTATCCTCCACCCTCTGCTTTACGTATTATTGAGATAGACCTGTATTTAAAGTCCTGGATCTTCTGCCATCACGTGTAGTCTGGCCTTAATCCAGGGCTATTTTTGAGCAGGAACGCACAGGAACGGAGTTCCGGCTGGCTTCAGAGTTGGCCATGCCCACTACAGCCAAAACCTCTCCGTGCGTGGCTACAGAGGGGAGGCCTGGAGAGCGACTTCCCCCGGTGAATCCGAGGCGGGCGGGCCAGGGGGGGCCTGGAAGGATTGGGGAGGCATTTAAATGCCTCTTTCGTGCCTTCCCCAGCCTGTCCAAGGGCTGGCTTGCCTGGGCTCCCTGCAGCCGTGGGGTTCCTGGGCAAGCCAAGGGAAGGCATGGGTGTGGCCTAATATGCTAATGAGCTGTGTTGTTAGGGTGTGGCCTAGTATGCTAATGAGTTTCAGCTGTTGGGTGTGGCCTATTATGCTAATGAGTTCCTGCTGGGCATTTTCTACAAAAAAGCCCTGCCTTAATCTATTCACTTTGCAGCAGAAGGCATGGTTTCCTTGAGCATTGGGTTTAACCATTACCTTTGTAGAACTAATTAGAAGTATTTCACTTTTCAAGCACTGTTTCTTTTTCTTGGCCTTCTTCTCTGCAATCACTTTATTGTTATTTTATTATTTAAATATTCTTTCTGTCTTTCATTCAAAGCATCTGACCAATCATTCAACAGATTCAGAAATAAATTTTTACAATGATACCATCACATTTCAATACAAACAACAAATGAAATATACATGATAAAACTTCTGATAGATACGAGGAACACAAAGTCCAACAACTTATGCTCCAAAAGCTTTTCTAATGTGCACCATCTTGCATTGTCTTTGGGAGGGTGGAGGCTTTTTGGAACTTCTAAGACAGGCCATTGCTGAGTACCGTGGACTGCAGCCAAAGAAGCTCTAGATCTTGCTGAGCTCTGCATTTGCTGTGTGAATGGCAGAGTACAGACAAGTGGATCAGAAGACTTAGCAGTAGAAAAGAGCAAGAGTTCACTAGCACCTTAAAGACTAACAAAATTTGTGGCAGGGTATGAGCCTTCGTGAGTCCCTGCTCCCCTCTTCAGATACAGCTAGAATGTGAGTCCATCTGTCCTATATCTTGGAAAGTGGAGTGATTTCAGATGCCAAATAACATTAGCAGGTAAATGACAATAGCTGGTGAAAGACAATAGTGGGTGTGATTGGATTAGGTGTGATATGCAGAAGGGTAGTAGGCATGGAGAAATAAGCATTGTCATTTGGCTGCTAATGTCATTTGGCATCTGAAATCACGAAAGCTCATACTCCACCTTATATTTTGTTAGCCTTTAAGGTGCTACTGGACTCTCCTTCTCTTCTACTGCTACAGACACAGTAACACAGCTACCCATCTTGATCTCCAGAGAAGACTTAGTATTTGTGTTACAACTGTTTATAGAAATACCTACACATAAAAACTTGAAGAGTCCCCAAGTTCTCTGTAGGCCACTAAATCTACCCTTGTGTTATAACTTGTTTTGTTGTGTTTTGCTATCAACCTGATTTGTATTCTTAAGAAGTAACTCAGCATTCTGGTAGTGTCCCAAACCTTCCATATTACAAACTGCTTTCTTTGTTCAGTTGGTCAAGGAGTTTGGGAATCAAGTGGTTATGCTGGAGGAAGAAAAGAAGAGACTATCAGAATTGCTGAAAGATACTGGAGATGACAGATGTGAACTGCAAGTTCTTGAGGTACAAGAATATTAATCTAGGTTGATTGTGACGTTCAGAATATAAACTTCCATATGTGCTTTTCTAACAGATTACTGCAATTAATCCTGTTTAGTGTCTCCTGCAGGGGGTAACAATTTCTGCTGATGCACAGAGTGAAACCTTGGATTTTTGCAGAGTCCTATGTGTGCATATTAACTGATTTGGTGCTATAAAATAGTTGCGAAGAAAAGTTAATTTTCTTTATATAAACTATTTATAATAACTAAAATTGTGCCTAACACTTATCCATGACACTCAGTTATCCAGCATCACCCAGAGAATAAGCTCTTCCCTCTCAACTATCATACCCCTGCATCCTCAGGCACTCAGGCCACTGCTGGACTTGCTACTGCTGGTTTGAGGTTCAGGATAGTTCACGAACAGAACCCTGAACCAAACTGAAGCAAATGGGCCTGAATTGGTCCTGCAAGTTTGGTTCCCACTTTCTCCCAGCTGTGGCTTGCCACGGCTGGGAGAAGGGGGCAGGGAACCACCCTGGAAGGGACTTCCCTTCCACCTTTGTCCTGGCTGTGGCTCCCCAGGGCCAGGAGAAAGGGGGGGGGATCACGTGGGAAAGAACTTCCTTTCCCCCATTCTCTTGGCCATGGCTTGCTGTGGCCAGGAGAAAAGGGGCAAGGATTGCCCGGGAAGAGTTAAATGGCTGGCAGCCATTTAAACCTAACAGCTGAGCAGAGGACCCCATACCGCTTCAAAGGTGGGAGCAAAACTGAAGGGTTAAATGGCTTACAGCTATTGAAACCTAACAGCTGAGAAGTGGACCCACTGAGCTGTTAGGTTTAAATGGCTGGCCATAAACAGCCGAACCAGCCAAAAGTCTGGTAAATGTTTGGGGAAGGTACCTTCCCTGAACATCGGTTCTTGAGCTCCAAACCGGCCCAAGTTCATGCCAAATTTTCACTCATGAGCCAGGTAGTGCCCATCTCTAGTGCGTACCTCCTTCCCCATCAGCATGCCTTATGCTGTTGGGAACCATCTCTACTGCAGGGCATTCAGGCAGTTGGCCTGCTTGTCTGCCTGCTGTGTAGCATGACTCAGGGGGGCAGGGGTGGAAGGGTGCTGCTGGGCAAGGGGGCTGTTGCCATGGTTTTCCCAATGGGGTGGGGTCTGGTCACTGCAGATTCCTCTGTAAAGAGGGTGGAGCAAGGAAGTAGGCTTCAGTATCCAGCACATTTGATTAACCAGCAACCCCTATTCCCCATGAGTGCTGGAAAGGTTTTACTTTACTTACTGTTAAGTAATTAACTTTTTATTTCTTGAGTATTGAAATTCATTCTAAAATAAAATAAAATAGAGAGATAAAAGCCCTTAGTGTCTTGGAGCAAAAAACCCAGCGTCTGCCCTCCTCCAAGTCTGTGCCATGAGTCCATATTTCTTGAGTTTATTTAAGTGTGAGCAAGAAGCCCTGTAGCATAGCTTTCAATAACTGCATATATGATGGATCCCCTGTTACTCTCCCCACTCTGAGGCAGATTTCCCCTGCCGAATTCTTAGTTTCCTTCAGATACTGAGCTAGCCCCCAGTAGCATGATAATATTTGCAGTTTTATAAATCTGAATGTCCCACCTTTTGACAGAATCTAATTGGGTTTTGCCCAGCCCAGGAACTTGTCAGGAGACAACAGGAACCCTCTTTTTAGATCCCTTGAAATGGCACTGGAGATTGTGCACAGTGAACAATAACAAAGATTTTATTTAATAGGCAGGGATGGTATGGCATAGTCAGGTATTGGAAAGGCTGAGGGAAACATTGTCAGTAAAACAGTATATTGTTCAGTTGACAGACAAGATGGTGTTGTAGCAGCTTATTTTTACAAATTCTTGGTTCTTATCAGTGAGAGATGGTTGACTGAGTACTTTAGTTTCAGTTACAATGTTTCTGCATACAGTTTCCTATTAACTGTTCAGGTTTTCTGGAAAGGTCACTCTTTTAGTGTTTCAAATTCCTGTTTTCTTAAATCACAATGTGTCTTCTTTCTCCTGAGTAGTCTGTAACCATTTCCTTTCACAACAGATCAAGGACTGCCTTAGTGCCAATTCCCTGTATGACTGGACTGGACTTATATTTCTTCCCTGAAAACATAATATTTTTCCTTTTAGCCTGATTGGGAGCTTCAGCCTGCTACCCAGTCACTCTTGGCCAAAATCTCAAACCCCAGTTCTTGGCGTCTGTGTGAAAACGTACTTCAGCATAAGCTGACACTAGACTCTGAATCCTTAGATGGAATTCTTCCTCAGGTTATGTTTAACACAGTTAATACCAGGAGTCTCTCCCTTTATTCAAAAGATGAACCTGTCTGACAGTCAGACATCTACTCCTTTAGCTGAACTTTTACTTTACTGAGTCCAGCAGCAGTTGAGTCCACTGCTGCTGGACTCAAACTGAACACCTCTCCCCTCAGCACACAGCTGGTCTTATATTTACCTCAGCTGGCGCTGGCCAGTCAAAGAAAAGGAGCACCCTATCACTCAAGCTCAGCATTCTAGATCAGAGCTAACTATTCACCTCCCTTCTCGGATTTTACTGCATTAGGAAAACAGTGTTTTAAATGTAGTCCGCCACAGCATAATTACTGCATATGTAGGAATTTGAAAGGTTTGGCATGTTTTTGTATAATAAAGAAACTTCTATTCAGTATAGTCTGTTCCCAACAATAGGCTATTTCTCCCCTCCTCATTATTTTGGATTATTGTAGAGATAACATTATATAAATATTTGATGAACCATGAATGGACTGAATTCACAGAATAGGTCTTTCTCCCTTCTTCCTTTCCACCAAATCCACCCAAAAACCAGCTCCAGAGGGCTGGGAGACCTGAAAAACAGAGTGGGAAGGGGAAAGATCAGTTCAGTTCAAACTATGTGTTTGTCTCTCATAAAGAACACATGCAGTTGGCCCTCTGTCATTTAAGCATACAAATTAATTCATTGTCCCTTTTTCACAGGGAGAAGCAAATGGATGGTTAGTACCAGGTGAAGGATATACTCCAGAACCAATGGAATATCATTATCTCACAGAACTCGAGGCTAAACTCAAAGTAGTAATCTCAGATGGAGATTTTTCTACTATTCAAAGTTCCTTTTCTAAAGTCCCCAAACAGATTTATCAGGTATGGTAAACTTGGAAAATGTCTTGGAATGTTTGGAATCTCCTGCCTTGAAGCAGATAACATTTTTGAAAGGATTGGAATTTAACCACACTCTTTTCATTTCAAGCACAGAAGTTTATTAAAAGCTGTAGTCAGAGGATAGCTTTTGTTCTACACTGAACATGGCTGGGAATTCTCTGTGTGGAATAAAGGGCCCTTCTAAAGGAGATACCGCTGATGATTGTGTCCTAATTATTATGTCCTCATCTTTGCATCCTTAGCTGGTTCCTATGAAAATTCAAAATCTCACAAAAATGGAAGTTGCCGATTATTACCATCCCATATATACTTTAACAATTAATAATCAGTATGTTTTCCATCTTCTAGGAATTTGCCTCAGTTCTTTCTATGGTAATTTAAAAGATATGGTTGCCGGTAGCATGAATACAAGAAAATATTTAATTATAGGAAAGGAAAGGAAAGTTAATTTTAAGATGTTCTAGTGAAAAAAGTAAATCTATATAAATTCGGCTTATAGACTGCCTCCTTCATGCAGTGGGCTCAGGGCAGTGAACAACAATTCCAGTAAATATATTCACAAATCAAATTAAGCAAATTAAAACAATAAAAACAATGGCAGTACAAAAACAATTTCAGATGATGCTTAAATAAACCAGAATTATATCCTTGCCCCCATGTGGGGGGGAGGAAAGGGGAGGTGCCAGGCAAGATGGGGGCCCTTGCTGTCCTCAGCCACAGGCTTGGCAGAACATCTCTGCCTTACAAACCCTGCGGAATTGCATTAGGTCCCACAGGGCACAAATGTCGTTTGGCAGAGAGTTCTACCAGGTCAGAGCCAGGGCTGAAAAAGCTCTTGCTCTGGTTGAGGACAGCCAGATATTTTTCAGGCCAGGGATCACCAGTAAGTTCTTCTCTTCAGATCATGATGCTCTGTGGGGGGTGGGTCTATCAGGAGAGGCGGTCCAAAAAAATATATTGGTCCCAGATGGTTTAGGGCCTTGAAGGTTAGTACCAAAATCTTGAAACTGATCCGGTATTCGACCTGATGGAGCCCTAGTTGGATGTGTGTTGTCTGTGGGGTTCTGGTAAAATCCTGTGCTTCTGCATTCTGAACCAGTTATAGTTTCCAAGTCAGTCTCAAGGGCAGCCCTGCATAGAGTGAGTTACAGTAGTCTAGCCTGGAGGCGACTGTTGCATGGATTACTGTGGCTAGGTCAGGGCGAGACAGGAAGGAGACCAGTTGCCTGACCTGGTGTAGCTGAAAAAATGCCAGTTTAGCAACATTTGTAATCTGGGCATCCATTGATAAGGAGGCATCCAAGAACACACCCAGGCTCTTGACAGTCAGCATTGGTGTTAGAGGCACACCATCAAGGGCTGGGAGTTGGCACCCCAGTCCTGAATCTCTCCTCCCAACCTACAGAACCTCCATCTTGGATGGATTCAGTCTCAGCCAGCTCTGTTTCAACCATCCCACTATGGCCTTCAGCCCGTCAGCCAAATTAACTGGGGTGGCATCTGTCCGTCCATCAACAGATGTAGTTGAGTGTCATCAGCATATTGATGACAACCCAACCTGAAACTCCATACCAGTTGTGCAAGAAGCGCATGTAGATGTTCAATAACATTGGAGAGAGGATTGCTCCCAGGGGGTGTTCAGGTGACATCTCTCTCCTAGCGCTACCCTCTGTCCCCAACCTTGGAGGGATGACACAAGCCAGTTCAGGGCCATCCCATGGACTTCTACATTGGTGAGGTGGTGGGTCAGCAGTTGTGGATGACCATGTCAAACACTGCTTTCAGATCAAATAATAACAACAGCACTGACCTACCTTGATCCAGCTTTCTGTGGAGATCGTCCGTGAGGGTGACCAGCGCTGTCTCTGTCCCATGGTTGAGGCAGAAGCTGGATTGGAATGGGTCCAGGGCCAATATGTCCTCCAGGAAAGTTTGGATCTGCTCTGCTACCACTCTCTCAGTTACCTCTCCCAGAAATGAAAGGTTCAAAACTAGATGGTAATTAGAAGGATCAGAGGGATCCAAAGATGGTTTCTTTAAAAGCAGTATTACCATAGCCTCTTTTAATCCCCCTGGATTAAACCAAGGGACAGATTGATAGCATCCATCGGGGGGGCCGTATTTCCTCACCACTGGCCATGACAGACACAGATCTAAGAGGCAGGTGGTCAGCTTAACAGCACCCAGAAATCTATTGGTCTGGGAGAGTCGGCTGAAGTTGTCAAGTACTGAATCCAACAACGGCCAAGGTGCCTCCAGTTCATGTACTGAATCAGTATTGGCAGGCAGTTCATGGTGGACTGACAAAACTTTACCCACAAAAAAGCTTGCAAAAGTCTCACAGCTAATAGCTAAATTTTAACATTTTGGCTTCTCTCTGTATAAGAAGTTAGAGACCTAATTATCCTAAATAATTGTACTGGGTGAGAGCTAGCGGATGCGATGGAGAATGTATAGAATCCCCTTTTGGCAGCCTTCACCACCATAGGATTTTATATACATCCTATAAGATGTTCTTGTAGCTTCATCGTGAGACCGACGTCAAACTCACTCTAGTCATCTAAGCTCCTGCTTCATCCCCCTAAACTCCGTGGTGTACCAGGAGGCTAATTTGGGGTGGGAGTGAAGAGAATGTCGGGGAGCGATTTTATCAATGGCTTCAGAGAAACAGGTATTCCAGTCCTCTGTCAGTTCATCTAATGAATTGCTGGGGGGCATCGGATCCTGCAGAGCATTTTGGAACCCAATTGGGTCCACTAATCTCTGTGGGCGAGCATAAATCCACTTGCTGCCTAGACAGGAAGGGGTTGGGGCACCCAGCTGGGCCTTCAGGGAAAAATGATCTGAGCATGGCACTCCATCAATAGTAATCAGATCTATATGTATCCACATGCCAAAGATCAAATCCGTCGTGTGGCCTGCTTGGTGTATGGGGCCTAATGCAATCTAGGAGAGACCCCGTACTGCCATGGAAGACACCAGGTCTGACGCCTGCGAGGAGGCAGCAGCATGGGCATTGGATGTTGAAGTGTCCCAGAACTATCAGACTTGGGAATTCCAAGGCCCAGCTTGCTGCTTCCTCCAGCAGGCTCAGTAGGCTGTCTGCTTGGGCACTAGGTGGTCGGTACACCAGCCAGACAGCCAAATTCTCTTCAGCATCCCAGAAAAGACCAGCACAGTCAATACTGGAGATCTTTGGGATGGGGAGTTTAAAGGTTTGAACTAGGGAACTGGAATCATATGATTTTCAGACATAAAAGAAAGTATTTCAGAAATCTGCAACTGAATATAGTTACATTTATCTGTGTATTAGGTTCTTTGAATTCCCAGCTTTCAGTAAAATAAAGCAAGTCTCTATCCCCTTTCCCTGTGGAAATATAAGGGGGAAAGAAGTATTTCTGCAACAAAAGGGGCACTTTAATACAGATTATTATAGTGGTATTTGATTGCCAGTTTAAACAGAAACAAAAAGCTCCACAGCAGCAGAGGGGTTAATGATTGCTGTGGAGGCACAGAAAATGCCTGTCATGTGGGCAAGACTGTAAAAATTTTAACTTTCCCATCAGACAGGAGCCATCCAGGCTTGGCTGCAATCTTTCCTAAAACTTTTAGCAAAGCTCGTTTGGGAAAGACCAGAGAAAAGCCAGGGAAACCCAGGAGTTGCACAAACGCACCATGATGCTGTGGGCAAATGTATGTATGTGGGGGACACATTCCCCACAACACTGATTCCAGGACATGTAATCCATATGAAAAAGGTCCAAAAGTCCTTCTGTTTTTCTTTTCTAAAAATGATAGCTCCATGTGGAGATTTTGCTTTCTAAAGAACTTGTTGAAGAATTAATTTAGGCAACTACAGGCTGCATGATTAAAGGGATATAATTAATAACATATTTACACAGAACAAGAGACGCAGGCAATCCCTTATTCACACTTATCTCTACAGTCATAAAAGATATCTGACAAGCATTTGCCTCCTTTATCATTTGGCCAAAAGATAAAATATCTGAGAAGGACATGGAAGCAGGCAGTATACAATGGACAAAAGGTTAACGCAAAGTTTTGGGGTGCTTGATTTTCACACACTGTCCTCCTTTGGCAGACAAACAGATTAATAATCAAAGGAAGTTTCTTCATATTATTCTAATGCCTTGGAATATATGTGAGAAAGCAAGAATCTGTTCCTGCTATGCTCTCAGGGCAGAGCCTGTGGCTCCCAAAGCTGTCACTGGTCCAGGACTGATTATTATCCATCCTGGGCTTTGTGCCAGTTCAGTTTTATGGGAAAATGCCTTGTTTTTGAAGAAAAGAGGAGACATTAGTTTAAAAGCCTAATTAAAGAAAAGTAGTTCAAAGAAAGTTTGGAATGTCAGAATAAGATGTAGAGTTATTTGCGGCAACATGAGTGTGACTGTACTTCTGAGAGATATGTACATTATGTACAGTTAAATGTATTTAAACCATGGTTAAGATTACAGAGTGAGCTACAGTGCAGTACTCAGTAAGCAGCAGGTACAAACTCATTTTTCTAGTGGAACCGTTGGGTTGATCTAGTCAGATCTTAGAAGCTGAGCAGGGTTGGCCCTGGTTAGTATTTGGATGGGAGACCACCAAGGAAGTCCAGAGTTGCTATGCAGAGGCAGGCAATGGCAAACCACCTCTGAACCTCTCTTGCCTTGTAAACCCTATGGGATCACTTGCGACTTGACAGCACTTTCCACCACCACCATAAGTAGTAATCATATTCATTGGTTTCTTTGATTACTGTCTTTGTAACACAAATAGTTTTCACTGGACTGTAGGTGATAAATACTTTTGCTGTCTGTAGGTTGAGAAGGGAAATAGTTGTGAGATGAAGTTTCTTCTTGGGTAACACTGTGGTGGCCAGCCATAGCCCCCCCTACAAGTGGGTGTAGCTTGTCATGTGGGGAGAAGAAAATCTTCCAAAATTCTCTATCTGATGCAAATTTTTAAGATACAGG